AAACGTGAGCAAGTTGGCATCCCCCCACTTCCTCCAACATTCTGGAGATGATCATACCATCCACACACAAACTAGTCGGTGGTAGTTGTTATATGATTGAGAGATATCCAAGGTCCCCTGTGCAATATGGCAGTTGTCATTGATATAGAGGGGTCCAAAAATTTTGGAAACGAGTTTGTTGTGAAAGAATTTGCAATATCCGCGCTGGAACTTGGTGGTGATGGAAAGTTCACACATGAGGCAATCTTAGTGGATCCGCCACATAAATGGGATCAGTTGCTTCCTAAGTACAAAGAAGTGAACCAGTGGTTGCCACGTTACTATCATGGACTGCATTGGGACACTCCTGGAAATATCAAATATGAAGCATTGAGTGAATTTGCAAATAATATTATTAAAAATGTTTCACACACTTACGTCCAAGGTGTAGAGAAGAAGACCTGGCTGCAGCAAAGCCTCAAAACTGAACTGCCAATTGAGAATTTAAATGACTTTGGCAACCCTGATATGGAGCCTTTGGAAGGTGAGAATCTTTTTAAGTGTGTCTACCACCATAGTCTCTTTGATGGAAGTTCGATCCAGTACCATTGCGCTCTTGAACATACAGAACGTTTGAAAAAGGGGTTACCAAGTATAACACCGGGTCTCTGGAGAAATCACTGGAAAACATAGCGAAACTTTCCATTTGAATGCACTGACAAGCCAGGACATTACATTCCTCCCGAAGCTTTTCATCAAAACCATTGCCAAGGACACGGTGGATGCGGTTTGGGACAAGTTGCCCGAGGTGATCAAGAAGGATCCAAGCATCACTCGCCTACGTTATCATCGTACACATTCGTCTGCTACGTCGACCTCATTGCTTAATTCAATCCTCCTACTAATAGCTAAATGCCTTCTGTGTCTCTATCACCGTTGCTGATACACTCAAAGTTACAGTATATTATTGAATAAAAAGCAAGTATGGATGTATTTGTGTATAACTTCGCTGAAACCCATAGCTCTCCCTCCTCCACCTCCCAATAAGATTAACATTTTGGCTCACATATAAACATTTTCGTGAAATCTCATCAGTTGACTTTTGAATACCGTTCATATGAGATATCATTCTTCTTGAATAGTTACGTTAAAGATTGTTAAAAAATAAAATTCGATCGAAAACTATCTTTCAAAATGTCAAACGATAATCAATTTGAAGTGTGGGATGAGTATTATCCATCAGTTGAGGCTGCTGTAACAGCAGGAGACATAAGCATATCGTACCGGCGCTTTTTGGAAAATGTTCTTAGACCTCTGGAATGGTTTATGTGACTACCGGTACCTAAATTGATTACCTATATGAGGCAAGCTATTCTACCAATTGATGGTCTCATTGCCAGTCTATCTCTCACTCCCTGGAGTTCGTACAATCCTTGTGAAAAACAACGATTTTTTCATATTCATGCGAGGACCTGCAGCTGGAGGAAGTGAGTGTGGAACATCTCCAGATTGCAGCTCTTGTGAGGGTGGGACCTCCCCTGACGGTGGATCATACATAGTGCAAATCTTGAGACGCGGGACGAGATGGAAGCTGTGGCCATTGAGGTTCTCAGCACATTTTTTAATGGTAAAGTGTAAGCAGAGAGAAGAAAAAAAATCGGATGTCGATGGGGCGTGGAAATGACCAATGAAGAAGCACTAGTCCACAGGAAGGGATACTACACACCTCAGCTCTGAACAAAACAATTCTAGCAGCCAGAAATGATTTAATCTTCATCAACAACAACAACAAAATGGCATTCATCGTTGATTTGCAAGGATTTCGAAGACGAGGAAAGATTATTGTCAAAGAATTAAGTGCAATGGCTGTGCAACAGTCACCAGATATCGAAGAATCTCCCCCCATCAACATCCTCTTTAAACCACCATGTGCCTGGAGTGATCTGGAAATGCGGGATGCTGTAACCGACGGGTAGATTACTCGAAATCGTCATGAAATGTTATGAAGTGCTCGTGACTGTCATTAAAATGATATTGACAAAGATTTGCGTAGTTTTCTGAAGAATACTCGGAAAATATATGTGAAAGGTTTAAAAAAACTGCAATATGTGAAGCAAGTGTTTGGCCATTCCTTCCAAGTTACTAATTTAGAAGATTACAATTGTGTGAAAATCAGCAGTTATTTCTTCAGGCAGACTGAACATCCAGAAATTCATCGACATATCAAGACAGCGCATGCATCAGTCTGCTGTGCTTTGGCGAATGTGCGGCACTTAAAACATTGGTTTCAGTGCAATCGTCAAAAGTTTGACAGTAGTGAGGGCAATTTAAATGATTTTTTAAATTGAAATACAACATTTTGTCATTCATAGAAATATAAGGTTTTTTAATTCATAAAATGGAACATACACTCGAAAATTGAAAAAATATTTCTGATGTTCATTTTTGTAAGCTCCCAATCACCATTCAATGTAAAAAATTGCAATTTCATGTTATTATACTGCTTATTTGGTATCGTATCTTCTTTTTGCTCCATGGAATATTTACTCTACTTCGAAACAGTTCACCACGCATCCAAGAGGCTGACTGTTTTGTATACATGGTGTCCCAGAAGTACATGCTGATCCGGAAGCAGCATGTACAGGGGTGATTCTGAGTACGAAAAGTCGTTTCCCACTTTTGGATCAGAAGCATCCCCTCGGAGGTATTGGGGTAAAGAAGGGAGTCAATGGCGCTGCAGCGTTAAGCGGCAGTACGTCCGTGTGGCTCCGCGCTTATGTGTGAGTGATGCACCTTCTAGGCAGCGGGATACGGTTCACCGCTCACCTGTGAGCGAGAGAGACATCGGCTGATACTTCTCTCTCGCTCTCTCGCATCACTTAACAAAAATGTTTTTGAAAATATCTCGTAAACAATTGAGTTTTAGGGATTTTTCCATTAATTGTAATTTGTTGCAAATCGAATTTGATACAAAACAATTTCATGTAAAAATCACATAAGCCCAATTATTTATTTAATAATTGCAATAAACGGTTTGATGGTTTTTAATCGTTATTTAAACAACCAAAATGCCTACAGCATTTTTCCATTAGATGATGTTTATGAATTAAGCTAAACTCGAGCGGTTTTCATGAAAGCGAGTATCGGAAAACTCCGACAATGATCGGGACCCATCGGTCAACGGTCACCAGTCGAAATCACCACCCATCTTCGAAAAACTACCCCACTGTCTTCATCACCGACTCTCGACGTGACAACTTTGTTATCGACGCTCACCGCGACATTATCGTAACTCAACGTGTAAAATCATCGCGTATCTCAACTTATTGTACTTCACCTTAAAAGTCAATTATTGTATATCACCGTAATTCAACTCATTAATCAAAGTGTAAATAAGTAACCGCATTGAGATTGACCGCGAGTTTTAATACATTAACATTCGTGTGCCGTATAATTTCCGCGTGTTACCTTCCACACCCTCGCCTCACAAACTTCCTGAAACTTCCGATCCACCCAATCAACGCTATATTTACCTAATAATAATCAATGGAAAAATCCATAAAACTTAATTGTTTACGAGATATTTGCAAAAACATTTTCGTGGAGTGATGCGAGAGAGCGAGAGAGAAGTATCAGCCATTGTCTCTCTCGCTCACGGGTGAGCGGTGAACCGTATCCCGCTGCCAGGAAGGAGCATCACTCACACATGAACGCGGATACACGGACGTACCGCCGCTCAACCCGGTAGCGTCATTGGCTCTCTTCATTACCCCAATATTTCCGAGGGCGTGCTTCTAATCCAAAAGTGGAAAAGGACTTCTGGTCGCAGAATTACTCCCTGTACATGCTGGTTCTGGATCAGCATGTACTTCTGGGATAGCCTGTATACAATGCGTATGTGCATCACCGGTAAGAGCGCGCAGTCATGTGAGTAGGGATCAGTTCACGCTTCGATCTGAATGCGAGAGAGAGAGAAAGAGAAGTATCGAGTTCAAAATGATTCTTCAGATTTGATAAAGAATAAAAAAATAATTCATCTTTCTTATTAGTTTCTATTCATAATGATTTAAAATTTTTTTTTTTAAATCATTCGCAATCACGACAAATTAATTCATGATTTCGAAAAAAAAACTTAAAAATCATGAGTTAATTTGTCGTTCTAATTATGATTATCAAGGTAGCATAAAAGAAAACTATCAACCGCCCACAGATATTCTGAAAATTTTTGCGACTATGATTGTCAGCTATGAAATATTAGATATTGAATTTCGCGAATTCGATATTAGGCAGTGGACATCACATGGTTGATATGAGATATCGGGCATCATATGGTTGATATTCAACGTCAGATACAACATGGTGGATATTATTTAAATCGTTCTGACAAATCAAATTAAATTTTAATTCGATTATTGTGTCAAGTAACTCATTGTTGACATAACAAATATTATAACGGAATTGAAAATTTCAATTGAAAATTTTTCAATTCTTTAATATTCAAAGATTTTAATGCAAAATTAATTGAACAAATAATTTGATGTCTCTGACCTCCGCTTTGACAGTTGGAATCAATTGTTAATATATCGGTTCAAATATTATATACAAATTTGAATTTTGAATAAAAATTTTTTCACTAATTAACTTGAATGTTCCAATAACAATTGAAAGACTTATAGTCAAATTGGATTTCTTCTTGGTAGCCGTAATATATTTCTTTCTTGGTAGCCGTAATATACTGTCTTAGAGCCGGAATGACAAGAAGCCTTTATTAACAGTAATCGACTCTCCAATCGAAATCAAAGATGCGTAAAATTGTCTTATTTGACGCTGCCAGCATAAACATGGCGTTTTAAAAGTATTTCTATGGTTTTAATAAATTACCATTTTCTCATAAACGGTTGTATTCACTCGTTGTGCCAGGTTTTTGCCTCGGAGGTGTTGTAATTAACGTTGAGTTGACACCATTTTTTCACAAAATTTTTTCGTGATTTTTTACATAAATAAATGATGAATTTACTCACCAAAAACAACCGGGGTTTCAGTATCTCTTATGGAAAGACTAGACGAAGCTCGTGATGCACTGGAATCGGTGGTCTGAGTGCTTCTCAATCTTCTCCTCAATTTTGGCATATCAAATGGAAGGTCTCTAAAATCAACACTGGTAGCACTACCTGAAGTCGTTGCGTCTTGCTCGATAAGAAGACGTCTTCGCCTTAATTTTGGCATATCAAATGGCAAATCAGAGAGATCAGGGTCGGTACTCATTGAGTTGATCTTGCCCATTTGTGGTATGGCCGAACGGACGCCAACGGGCTGGCTCACGAATGCCCCCTGTGACTCAATGGAAATTCCACTATCTGAACCCTGAATTTCGGCGTCTCCGGAAGATGAAGACTGAAGAGCTAAGCTGATTAGATGTTTATTTGGCAATAGACGACCCTTGTTAAATGATGTATTTATTGGCGGTATTACCTTGAAACTGCTCACATTTGCCGTACTACTTGCGGTGCTATTACCCATTGTTTTCTCGGGAGAAGCTTGCTGGGAATTACAGTTACGATTACTGTCGGAGTTTTCGGAAGCAGGCTCCTGGGACGATTTATCAGAGATAGGTGAGAGAATATGCAGTTTACTGTCATGATAGGCGAGGAAGTTAGATAATGATGTTTGTGGATGATAACGATGCTGATAGAACCAATTGGTACTACCACTATCAGAACTGTGAGAACTCAAACTAATACTGTGCCGGCTTTCAGAACTGCTCGTCGATCTGTTGTCTTCGCTAGTGCTGCTGCGGAGTGACTCCATGCTGCCTCCACTACTGCTTGTTGCCATACTCTCCATGCTGGAAGAATCAAGCCGACGTCTCGTTGAATGTAGCTTAAATTGCATCGATTTCGGTTCTTTTGCCGACTTTGAAGAATTTTCCTTAATCTTATGTGCTCTTCCTTTGAAATTCACCATAGTCTTCCAATTTGGTACAAAATAGTGAGAACAATGTCTTTCCTGTCTTGGCCTACTTCCAAATCCGACGATGTTTTCACGATTCTCTCCCCGTAATCGTGAATCAGTGATTTCGTAAACAGAACTCCTAGCTTCATTTTTGTTCTGAAATATACCATCATTGATTTGCTTTGATTGTTTCATTTTCCATGACTTCCTAGTTGAGCCGATGTGTTTCAGTTTAAGAGAATCCGACTGAAGATGTATATTAGGTGCCTTCCTAATATTCGAGCGAATATGATCCTTAGTATCATGGAACTTGGCAGCTAGGAAATTATTCGATAGTGCAGATGGACTGTATTCGCAAGTAACTGTTCTACCTAAACGTATTTTTTCATCAGAGCATTTTATTTGGAGGGATTCAATGCCTTGGGAAAGACTTGACATATCTACTGATGAATGTGACTCCATTTGAATAAATAGCGGTTGGGATCGTAACTGTACTTTTCTTTCAGATTCATGCTTAGTCGATCGTTCAGTAATTTGTGCCACGGCACATGGCCGGTTTATGTCCTTCGAATTTGAATTCGTGACCCGATATACGTCGTCTGAATTGTCTTCCGATCGTTCGACCTTACAGTCGAAAGCTGTCTCATAGACATGTCGTTGCCGTGCCATTTTTTCATCGGCAATATTGTCGCCTTCGCCAACCACCTCCTCTTCAATATCCGCCTCGTTGCCTGCACGATCAGCTTCTGCCTCGCACTCCAGCGGCTGTTTTAATCCAATTCTTCGCGTCGTTCGTAATTTCGAAAGACGTCGTACTGTTCCTCGCACTACACCTACTTCATTTTTAACCTTTGCAAATGGAATATATTTACAAGCAATGGTAGGTAAATCATGGCTTAGTAAACGACGCGGAGGCATAAGGGTTTCGTCCCACTCCGTAATAATGCACGATGAAATTATTTCAGTGCTGCGGACTGATGGTACATATCCACTTCCCGCAGGTGTTACTGGATCCTGATTTCCGAATAGGGTGGGGGGAGATATGTGATCACCCGCTATTGAATTCCTTTTTGACAGTTTCGGAATTTGTGCTCGTTCTGCTGACACATCAAGGTTTACGCTCTTTCTATATTTGGGCGGTTGAAATTTAGAGAGCTTCTTCGTAACTTTGTACAGATCACCGTAATAATACGGTGAAGGATGACGAGCGGCGTGTCCATTGCAGTGTACTGGCCCTCCTTTTTGAATGTGGCGGAATTCGATGGAATTTACTGGCGTCGTATCATTGGAATATACCACGCCATTATTTAGGATGACTTCTTTCTCATTTTCGAGGTGTGATGGTACTTTCTTACTATGAATTCCAAATAATTGATTTGTGTGGGTTTCACCATAGAAACAATTTGCAGCTGCCTGATCTGCAAGACAATATAAAAAACAACTGTTAATAGCCTTTTGCAAAAAAGTTTATAGGAAAATCATATCTAATGATCATGGATAATCAAATGAAATACATATATCGAGTTGGAAAGCAAAATACATTGCGTGAGTATTTTCTCGGGCTATTTCGCCCAGGGAAATGGTCCCTTACGACCAATGTCCATACCTGTGTGTGAATTGGACGCTAGTCAGACCTTTTCGGAAGGTGTAACAAGACGGGCCTCCGGGGCCTTTACGGCTATCTGAGGGAGTTGTGGGTCGCTAGACATGCCACATGCTGAGCTAGCTTCGGGTGTGCTTAGGTAGAGTGGGAGTGGTCCACCCGGAGAAACCCAGATTGTTTCTCGCCTTTCCATGCCGGAGGTCGCCGTCACTAGCGACAGCAGCACGGTTACTCGCACTCTCTTTTCCCCAGGAGGTCTTTCCAGGCCTCTCGGTCCTGTCCTCCTACCATCGGGAATTCCGACACGGGGTAAGGTCCTACTAGCCTGCTGCTCTGCCGGGATCTCTGAGCACCTCGGACGCTGGGAGGCTGATCCGATCCAGGCAAATTTCTCTTATCCCCGACCACCCACACTCACAATCACCAATTACGAGGTTCCATCACAAGCGATGGGCACAGGCTACTCAAAATGGCGATGCATGTCGGACCGCCACGAGCACCGTTCGGGAAGATGCATAGTCATATCCACATGCGAGACATGAGATTTCTCGGAAGATGCAGGAACATCTAGAAACGGTCGCTCTCGTGATTCTACGTCACCCCTATAGAGGTATCCCTCCTATGTTAAGCTTCTTTCAGCCATGCTATTTTCTAATTTAATTTATACAAATAAGACAATATGATGGAAAAACAACCCGGTCTTACTCTCTTAATCAAAGATCACGCTGTTCTCGCCGAGATAAGCAACTGCATAAATTTAACAATATCATAAATAATTATTTTTTTTAACTAACAAATTCCTTAACCACAAGTCAACATATCAAATACTACTCAGAACGGCTAAGTCAAGATAAGTCAGAAATGATAAAGTCAAAATTTACAATCAGTCAGTGAAACAGCTGGTACGTTGAAAGTCAGAATTTATATGGAGAAGGAATCTACATTTATCGCGAGGAACGAACACGTCCATTAATACAGTAACAAGAAAATTGAGCGTTTGAGAAGGCAAATGCTTCGGGATACCGTGAACAATCGTCGATTGTAACCGCAAAGGTTACCGGCAAAACATAGGAAACTCGAGTATCGACAGACACTGCAAACTCAATCTCATTACTATGAATTTAAAAATTCAATACAATATAAAATTTATGAAAAATTAGTGTCTTCAAAGAGCACAATGAATGCCAGATTAAAATCGCAAGGAAACAATACATCCATAACCTTGGGATTCCAACATCGCGAATACAAAAGGTAATCGATAATTCACGAGGAAGTGAATGATTCGATTGAATATGAGAGACAAGAGTCGAAATTCAACAACTACTTAAAACCACAGATCTCAGTTGAAAGAAAATTTTATAAGATATAAAAAATAAGTGAATGTACATTCTTTAACATGTCAATAATTTAACCGAACTGGCGAAGAAAAATCTAGAAACCTGGGATTCCTGGAAATTGCATCATATGCGATGGACAATGACTCCAGCAAATCAAATGTGAATTAGTAATTTCTCAAATTAATTCCTTATCAACAATCTTCTCTCAAAACAAATTTATTCACCGCTCACCGTTATCTCACTCCACAGCCTTCCTCTGAAGTTTCGAATTACGATATGTAACTAATTTTTCACAGAATATAGCATTAAAGAAACTTGCTGTTAATGACCAGGCGTCCAAGTGAGAATGCTGGTTGATGGCGAAACGACAATGTTCCCAAATTCAGCAGAAATTCCAATTTCTCCGTTAAATCTTCTTGTGTTTTATCAGAAGAATAATCATGTGGACCGACTGCATATATCCCGCAAAGACTTCCGCGATGCATCCAAGATGAGCAGTGACCGATTGACTTGACAAATCATAACAGAAAAATAATCAAAACAAAATCAAAATAAAAAATTGCAATCAATCCTATTCGACTCTTATCTTTCTAATAATTGATTTCTCGTTCGGAAGTCTTAAGCCGATGAACGGTCGAAATCGAACATTGGAATACCCCGTTGCAATATATAGCAGAGCCCGGCAACCTGGGCTCATCGGGCTTGGTATTTTTACGTTTCAGACCATTCTACGCCATTTTTAGGCAAAATTAGAGAATAGAAAAATCGGACGATTGCAATGCTTCCATTCGGAAGCAAAAATCGAATTACTCATTTTTTATTTTATCCATCTTCTAGAGCAGAGGTGGGCAACCTCGGCTCTCGGAGCAACTCCAGCTCCCGACCTCCATTAGGCGAAATTGTCCCAAGTCATGAAGTTTATGGCTGCACCCCCTTCGGGCCCATGATGCCCTGTGCGTAGGTAAGAGTAGTGGGAATATTCGGCAGAAACTTGGTGGTGGAAAAATTGAAACAGAAAAATTTTCTATTTCACTAATAGAAATATTTTTTGTATTATTGCTTTTTTTGTTGTTATATGCTTTTGACTGGTTATTGGTTGCTTTTAATCGATTGTATAATGAAAAATTTTGTACCTTTAATACATTTCTTGAAGTGGAAATATGTTTCTCGGAAAACAGTTATTAAATACTATCATGTTGTTAATAAAACCTGACTTGACATTAACTTTCAAACTTTTGATGTCTGTATTTCCCGCTCTCGATGCCACATTAAAATTCATAAATTTCTCATAATCAAAAAAATTATCGGCATCCTTTAATCTTTAATTGACGATGAAATATTTCTTTCACAAGTTCACGAGCATCCCACTTTCATTTCTAAGGAATATTGAATCCAAACCATAATCTCTTAATTCCATTTTTTGAAACTAAAAAGAATATGTACCAACACACGCATAAATATCGATATATAGAGATGTATTCACCACATTCAACTACCTATCCAAAAGTTCACTACTGTTTACAGTAGTGTTCAATCGGCAACCACCAATCCTATTTTTGATTTTGAAAAAAGTGATCATTAGCACATCGGTAATTTGAATCTGGGAATCATTCTATTGATGTAATAGCCGTGAAAAATCGCATTTAAATTTACGGTGGGGTCTGAAAAAGAGTAAGAGGGAAGGGCGGTAAGTGAGTTAGTCGGGATAATTAAAAAATAATGAATATTGAACATATCATAATTGTGTAGTTTAGCCCCCTCAAACCAATGTCTACACTGTATAGTAGAGTGTGCAGGTTTCCGTTCCCTATGTCAGGATCTGGAAGCCGGGAAAAGAATTATGCTAGGAGTTAAGGGTGTTAATACACCGCGCTCTATGCTATCTAGGGTCACGACGAGGATGCGGTGGTGTGTGGGCTTCGAAGACCTGACATGTTGGTACACGAAGGACAATGGACACACAGAAAAATGTTAATTTTTTATGGGGGTCTTGCACTGATCACTGAATCACCAACATAGCACCACACGTCAACTGACCACCTACTATCACTGACTTAACCCGAGAAGTGCCATAGCCACCGCTACCATTCTGTAGCTACGCACATTATTGCATATCATATGATTCACTCCTCATGTCAACAGTGATAGAAGGGAGACAGGAAGGTTCACGAATCTCAGGTACAATGGAAGGACCTGCACGGTATTCTCGCGGTGTATTTATTCCTCCGCCTATATTGTCTCTCTCTCAATCTCTTTCCATTCCATTTTTCGAGGGCCTTTTCTTCGGTGAATATCAAATTGATTCGCATTTCAACAATATTAATTTATTTCAATAATATTAAAATATCAAATTATCGTGGGGGGAGGGGGCGGCTAAAGGATACCCTTATCGCTGGTCTGAGACTTCCGGTAAACGCTATACAAAGTGATAAGTAGTGATTCTAACATCAACGAACGAAGAGAAGAAGTTATGGGATCAATGGAAAAGAATTACTGTGAGTATCCGAATAGAAGGTAATACAAAAAATAATACGGGGAGGGTAACACTCGTTGGTGCCACTGGACCGAGTATTGGAAGAAGGGTTCCGTTAAGCTCCAAAAATTATGCTGCAATATGAAGAATTTTCCCTGATGATAACCTGATTTTATATCCCCTATATTATATTTCCGGCCACGGCTGCTGTTAATGTAAATTTAAAAAAAGAAAATCCTCTTATTTTGACATATTTTGTCAAAGTATTGCAATCTTGTTATTTATAATGATTTTCTAATATTATAGTTTACGGTGTTTGCACGGTCATAAGCTCCACCGGGAATTCCGAAACGTCAGAACTCATATACTAGGGCGAGTGATCTAGGGCAGGCATGGGCAATCTCCAGGTAGTTTGGAGCAGAGCCATAAACTCGAATTTGAAATCCAATAAAGTTTGAAACCATTTCAATAATAAGGGTCTTAGTACTAGCATCGTGGGGGAAGTAGAGGGGGCTTCACAGGTACTAAGGTGGGGAGTGTCCTATGAAGCGTCTGGCAAAGGTGAAATTGGGAAAAATGCCGCTCACGATTCATAAAAAATAAATGAAAAATCAAAAACTGAACAACAATTTTCTGAATAAGCTGATGTGAGAATTCCTCTTAATTCTGAATCATATTACCTTAAAATCTGAGTTCAATTTGGAGAAATAAAATGAATAAATTTCCAACCGGTACGAATTGATCAAATCCTGAAATCTTAATTGATTAATTATATATTTTCCCCACTCTCAGATAGCATTTTCCAATGCTGTTCAACGGAAGGTGGTAGGCGTATTTTTCAATCCACATTTTTACAGAAAATCAATGTTATGCTACACTGAGAGAAATTTTGGGATGCATTTCCGTCAATAATAAACAATTATTTGCGCGAATTATAAGGCACTTATTGCCATTTGGAAAAAAACCATAAGAAGCCAATAAAATAGTCTCCCCAGTGAACTCTTA